ACGAGGATGCCTGGGGGGAGGAGGATCAGGAGAACGAGGACGACGAGGAGGACGAACATGAGGAGACGCAGGAGGACGAGAGAGGATTATGATGAGCTGGGTAGCGCTAGAAGACTGCTACCTCATTCGAGTGACTGTTGGTCACCTTTTGCACTTGAGAGCAGCTTTTCGAGTTGTGATTTGAGCGGGGACGAAGGAAAGAAGAGGAGGATTACGTGGAGGAGGGAGTTGGGCAAACAGTTTTTGAGCAGATTTCTCAGGCAGAGTTCAATGAATCGTAGATTTGCAAAACCCCAGGGAGGGGAAGAGAAGGAGGAGGCGGAGGAGGAGGAGGGGGCAAAGGGAGACGAGGAGGGGGAGTAGGAGCAGAGAGATGGGCAAGGAGGGAGGGGGGAGGGGGAGGCTCATATGGAAGAGTGGTGCGTGTGAGGATCGTTTTGCGGAGAATAGGAGGAGGAGGAGGAGGAGGAGGAGGAGGAGGAGGAGGAGGAGGGGGGAGGAGGAGGCGGATGAGGAGGAGAAGGAGGAGAAGGAGGAGCAGGAGCAGGAGCAGGAGCAGGAGCAGGAGCAGGAGCAGGAGGATAAGCAGGATGATACGGAGGAGGAGGGGAAGCAGAAAGAGGGCGAGGAGGGGCAAGAGCTGGAATGGGGACGGGGGTGGGTGGAGAAGGATATTCTGATGGCATCATCACCCTGATCCTCCTCCTCCTCCTCCTCATCCTCCTCTTCCTCCTGCTGGCACGCGCGTGCCTCCCTTTCCTCATTCATCCTTGTTCCTCCCACGTCCTCCTCCGCCGCATCCTCTGCCTTATAGCGCTCATCCATTCCGCCTATCCCCTCCACATCACCTTGATCATCAACATCACCATCATCATCATCATCATCATCATCATCATCATCATCATCATCATCATCATCATCATGATCATCATCATCATCATCATCATCATCATCACCATCATCATCATCATCTTCTTCATCATCACCATCATCATCATCACCGTCGTCATCATCATCATCATCATCTTTCCTTTGCCCCCTTCCTCCTTCCTTCCTCTTATCCTGATCCCCCTCCGCTTCCTCCTCTCCTTCCCTCCCTGCTCACTCACTCAGATTGACCGAGCGGCGGACTACTTGTATATTGCATAGTTCAATCCGGTTGCCGACAGCCCCACCAAAACAGCGACCGTCTTGACCAGGCGCATGTTGTTTTCGTTGTGGGCTCCCTAGTGCACGGCTCTGCTTCCCGCCGTCCAAGAGCTGTCGTCCAAGAGTTGCAGTTGCGGCATCCGCGTTGTTGCCTCCACCGTGCAGGGTTCGCCGAGCTTGTACATGTTCCTTATCATAACCGACGGGTCCGGTCAGGATGGGTGGCTCTGTCATTGGTCACCGCGAATAGTTGCCGCGCCGTCTGCGATCCCTGTTGTGTGTGTGCGTGTGTGTGTGTGTGTGTGTGTGTGTGTGTTCAGCCTCCCGTCTGTATTGTCGCTCTGCCTGGATATGCGCTTATCGTGTACAGTGTGTATGCCTGTCCGTCATGTCTGCCCTCTTATGTCATGTCTGCGCAGTGTGTCGTATGTGCCTGGACACTTGTCTTGTCTGTTTCATCTGTGCTAGATGCATCCTGCCGATACGAATGTGACGCCTAGGTTTCTGCGTATCTTGCCCGTCCTGCCTCTCCTCTCGATGTTGCCTGTCATGCCTGTGCTGCCTGTCCTGTCCGTCCTACCTGCATCCGCATCCCCCTCCTCTTCGTCATCCTCCTTCCCATCTGATCCCGAGGAGGAGGAGGAGAAGGGGGAGGAGGAGTGGGAGGACGAGGGAGGGTGAGGGGGGAGGAAGAGGGAGAGGGAGGAAGAGGGAGGAGGAGGGAGAGGGAGTGAGAGGGAGGAAGAGGGGGGAAAAGGGAGAGGGAGGAGGGAGGGAGGGAGATGGAGGAAGAGGGAGGGGGAGGAGGAGTGTGAGGGGGAGGAAGGGGGAGGGGGGGAGAACAAGGGCCAAGGTAAGGCGGAGAAGGAGCACTGGAAGGGAATGAGTAGGAGGGGGAAGAGAAGTCAGAGGAGAAAAACGAAACTCATGTTGAGCGGGAGGAGGAGGAGGAGGAGGAGGAGGAGGAGGAGGAGGAGGAGGAGGAGGAGGAGGGGGAGGAGCCGATGTTTCACCAGCGCTGCTATCACCACCGTCGCCGCTGCAGCCGCGCCGGCGATCGCTCACCATCCTTCTTTTCGAAGGGTGGCTCCGCTCCGCCTTCTCGTTCTCATTCAAGCTCCTCCTCGGCAGTTCACTCGTCCTCGTCGTCGTCCTACTACCCATCATGATAGTGTTCCTTCTCATCGTTATCGGCGTATCGTCCTCTCATCCGTTTGTTCCTTGCCGCTCTCCTGCCATTCGCCTTCTCGTTCTCCTCTCCCCCGTTTTGCCTATTCCTCCTCTTCCCCCTCCGACTGATGATGATACCCTGGCCGAGACAACATAGTTATGATGACGATGACGACCACCGTGCAGACGATGACGACGATGGCATGACAACCACCATGAGCAGGGAGAATGAGGAGGAATCAGTTAGGAGGATGAGCAGGACGAGGAGGACTACTGCACTGAGGGCGAGAACAGGAGACGTATCAGGAGAAAGAGAGAGGGAGAGCGAGAGAGAGAGAGACAGGGAAGACATGAAAGAAAGAGAGTGAGAAAGAGACGGCGTGGGCAGGAACGATGAGGACAAAGAAGAACCGAGAGCATCGATCGAGCAAGCCGCAGATCCCATATGTGCTCATGCCCTATCCACCTTTTTTCCTCCTGCCCCTCATCCTGCACCTCCTCCTCCTCCTCCTCCTCCCCCCTTGTTTAATCCCTCTCCTCCTCCTACTCCTCCTCCTCCTCCTCCTCCTCCTCCCTCCTCCACTCCTCCTCCTCCTCCTCCTCCTTCCTCCTCCTCCCTCCTCCTCCTCCTCCTCCTCCTCCTCCTCCTCCTCCTCCTCCTCCTCCCCTCCCTCACCATCCGCTAGCTTCGCCCCCTTCTCTTCGCTCCTCTTCCTCCTGCCCTCTCCCTCCTCACTCCTGACTCTCGGGCTTCACCCACAAGGCTTACCCTCCGCTGATGAGCAAGCGATCAGCCATGCCAGTGATCCATTTCTACATCGGTCCTGACTATACGCTGCACCCACAACAACGCCCAACGCCTTGCGGACGCTTGTTTGGCGCCAGGACACGGCTTCCGACACGCCGACCTTTTCGGACCGAGTACGATTCTCCGAGATGTTGGTGCCGCGCTTCGCGGCCTATCATGCACGAGCGTTCCATTATCGACGTGAAGGGCAGCTGGCATTGCCACGCGCGTCGTACAACCAACTGCCAGGCTGACCCTCTATGCTACGCATGCGGAGCACCCCCGACCCCCTGACGTCCTCACACATTAGCCCACACGGAAGTGCCACATGCATACCGTGAGTGTTCCGACACAGCCAGCTCGATGGAACGACAGTCCGATTCTAAATATCTTGCGCACGCACGTCACCGCAAGCTGCGTGATCCTACTCCATGTTTGCTGGCCTCATTCGTTTTTTCCAGCCGCAGTATGGGACACCAGCAACCGAGACGCATCACCACATCGGCCACAGTTTGCTGATTCGTTCGGAACGGCCACCCCTTTATTGCGGGACTCCAGAAGTGCTGGCCCACCGTGGAAGCCCCTCCCAGGAGGAGGCGTTGTCTGCTACCTGGGTTGTCGTCGCTGCACTTACGGTCGGTCACCATGCTATGCACGCCGCAGACGACCATCCGCACACACGCGCGGCTGTCCAATGGTCTCAGCCAGCCACATCGCCATTCCGTCCAGCACACCACCAAACCGTGCACGTGTTTTTTTTTCCAGGACGCGCACACCAACAACGCTCTTTGATGCAAGGGCATGTCGTATTGAATGCGACGTGCTTCGTGGCTACTACAGCCGCACGGGCACTGGCCACACATCGAGCACTGACGGCGTTGTCCAGTGCATGTCTTAGTTCTGCTCGTTTCACCATGTTTCTCGTCGGCATGGGTATCCCTCGCAGCCCTCACCACTACAGCTCGCTTCAGCGTTCCCACCGCAGGCCCCGCTGAAGTCATCGCCGGGGACGTGCCAAGCCCGACACCGACGAGGCCAGCCTTTTTGTCGGCGTTGGGCTTGGTATTTCCGCAGCTCCATCCATTCTTCTCCTCCTCCTCCTCCTCCTCCTCCTCCTCCTCCTCCTCCTCCTCCTCATCCTCCCATCCGTGGACAAGTGATGCCCGCACGGAGTACCTTTCAGCCAGCCGCATTCACGCTGCTTGCGACTGTTTGGGCTGTTCCGTCCATCCCGGCCCGATCACTTTTTAGTTTCGTCCACCCTTTGTTTTTCCCATGTGATGCTGGCCCGCCTCACGCTTGTGCCCCTGGCGACTGCCCGAGTCGCCCAGCTCCTCTGCTTACCCGTCTCATGAGCGGCTGCTACTGTACTGGCACGCGCCGTGATGGGTAGCATTCAACTGCGCTCTATTCATTCTTCCCCGCCTTCACCCACCTCTGTCACCGACTCGTAGCCCAGCCACGCCCTTTCCGCCCGACTGGCATGCAGCCGTCACGCCCCAACACGGATAGTTCACTCATTCACAAGCCATACGCCGTCTGGCGTGGGCAGGAACACAGTCTCAAGCAGCGACGCGAAATGGAGGGTGAAACGCTGCGCCGGCTAAGTTGATGAAGAGGAGAAGGAGGAGGAGGAGGAGGAGGAGGGGGGGTGAGGAAAAAGGGGGGCGAGGTTTAATGTTTGAATTGTTGATTGGTTTTTGATGTACACACGGACGCGATCGATTCTCCAGCGGGTGTGGTGCTCCTCCCTCCGCCTCCCCTCCTCCCCATCCTCCCTCCCTCCGCCTCGGCCTCTGTCCTGGTAAAATTTTAGTGGGCAGCCAAGCAGAGTGGATTGACATTCGGACTCCCAGCGGCCTGATCCTTACCCTCATCCTTCCTCCTCCCCGTCATGCCGCAGACTGGGGCTCCGCAGCGGTCGCTCCATTCAATGCCGGTGCTCATCACGCGTACCGTGTGGCATCGCCGTCCACTTCGGTCCCCCCCGCCTGTCGTCTGTTGCGCCACGGCGACGGGCGTCTCTCGGGCGTCTGTCGGGCGTGGCGTACCCTAAGGAGGGGGGGCGGGGCAGGCGAGCCTGGACGACCTCCTCCGCCGCGCTCCACTGGCATCGCGCACGCATTCTCGTGCTGTGTGTGTGTGTGCGTGTGTGTGTGTGTGTGCGTGTGTGTGTGTGCGTGTGCGTGTGCGTGTGTGTGTGTGTGTGCGTGTGCGTGTGTGTGTGTGTGTGTGTGCGTGTGTGTGTGCGTGTGTGTGTGTGTGTGTGTGTGTGCGTCGGCACCCCGCAGGGCGACGAGCGCTCTCAGAGCTCCTCTGGCGTGTGCTCGGTGGTGGGCGCCTTCCTGGCCACTCCGCCGGGAGAACGACCGTCCCGCACGTTCGGCTCGGGCGTGCGCCTCCGCGGGGGGGGCGCACAGTCCTCGTACGTCCTTCGGCGTCCCGCTCGTCCTCCTCCTTCCTCCCTTTCCCCTCCTCCTTTCCCCCTCCTCCTCCTCCTCCTCCTCCTCCTATCCTCCCCTCCTCCTCCTCCTCCTCCTCCTCCTCCTCCTCCTCCTCCTCCTCCTCCTCCTCCTCCTCCTCCTCCTTCCTCTCCTCCTCATCCTCATCCTTCCCCTCCTCCTCCTCCTCCTTCCTCCTCCTCCTTCCTCCTCCTTCTCCTCATCCTCATCCTCATCCTCATCCTCATTCTCCTCCTCGTCCTCCTCCATCTCCTGCTCCTGCTCCTCCTCCTCCTCCTCCTTCTCCTCCTCCTCTTCCTCCTTCCCCTCCTCCTTCTCCTCCTCTCCCTCCTCCTCCTACATCTCCTGCGTGCGCACCGCTGGTGCCCTGCGGGCTTGTGCTGGCTTCGCGTGCGCGGTGCAATCGGCAAATGTCACAGGTGCCCCATCTCGCAGCAGAGAGAGCCTCTGCAAGGAAGAACAAAACAAACCTCTTCCTCCTCCGCGGCGGCCGACGTGCATGGAGACCGCCCCTCCATGCCCGCTCGTGCTCCCCTCCTCCTCGTCCTCCTACTCGAATTCCCTCCAGAGGTCTTCCCTTCACACTGGAACGATGCAGAGAAGATTTGCATGACTCCTCCTCCTCCTCCTCCTCCTCCGTAGCCGTTCTGGCTCAGGCGTCTTTCCTGAGCTTGCAGCAGCATGCCTCTTCAGAGCGGCCACGTGCTGCTGCGAGCCTTTCTTTCTTCAGGTGAGCTCCTGCTGGAGCAGTCAGCGAGCCCCCTCGGGGGCAGATGAGCAATGAGGGGCCCGTGCTCCCTGGCCCAAAGCAACCGTTCTGGGCATGCGGAGGATGTGGCCTCAACACCAACTGGGCCTCGCGGATCCAGTGCAGGTGCGGCAAGTCAGCCCCCCAGCGGGTGGTGTCAGCCGCGAAGCAGAATGCGAAGAAGAATGATGGCAACGGGAATGGGCGGACTCCTCCTGCTGGGCGTCGTAGCCCTGGTGTCGGAGGCGGCAACAATGACAAGCTGCAGAGACAGCTTGACGCCCTCCAGAAGAAGTACGACAAGCTGGCGTCCTCTACGACCTCCACAGCAGCCCCAGCAGGCGTTGCTGGAGACGAGCCCAAGGAGGACGCCAAAGAAAAACAGCTTCGTGACAGTATTAAAGACTTCGAGACCGCCATCAAGGCTGTGGGCAAGCTCAGCGACGGTGGCGGCGCGGCCAAGGCCTCCCTGGAGACGCAGCTTCGGGAGGCCAGGAAGGCCCTCTCGGAGTGCAAGCCGGCGCTCACGCAGCACACCAACACGGGCCACAAGTTGGCACGCATGGTGGCGAAGCGCAAGCAGCTCGGACAGGACGAGACCGAACAGCTTCAGTTGTTGCAGCAGGCACAGGAGAAGCTTGATTCGATCCGAGCACAACAAACTGCGCGTGACAAAGAGATCAAAGAGCTCAACCGTCAGCTTGTGCTCAATCTTCCTGGGAATCTGGGTCATGCTTCACTCAATCTCGAAGAAGTTCAACCAGGTGCTGATAAGGATGCGGTCTCGGCCATGCTCCAGTCAGACGTTTTCCAGAAGTACAAGCAGTTTCTCGAGGAGCAGCAGGTCAGAGCGGCATCGGCGGCGACGACCACGGCGGCTTCCTCTCCCTTTGATGGTGCTGGTGATGCAGCTATGCCTCAGGCTCAGCAACCACAAGCACCACCACAAGCTCGATCACCCTTCGCCAATAACGAATGGGCGGACGCATCCGATGAACCCGAGCCTGCCGACGAGGACGATCCAGACGTGCAGGAGCTATTTTTCAGCGCCCAGCGCATTGAGAAGCGGGAGTGGGGCATCAAGTTGCAGGAGATCCTGGCCAAGCGCCAGCGGCGCTCCTAGCAGTAGTAGTGAAGTGATGCCTCTGTGCTGCGGCCTGCCCCTGTCTAGGTTTGGCCTTCCAGTGCCTCCTCCCCCTCCTCCTTCTGACTCCTATTTGGGCACGACGGGCAGCGAGCTCTTTGAGACGTACAACGGAAACTCTTGGCCCACATTGCGAGAACGGTTGACTACCACTTCCGTTCTGATTGTGTTGGCACAGGAGATCGAATTCACCCTTGACGAGGAGGGTGACAAGTACGACGCAGTAGGGAAGCTGGGCTGGCGCATGCTTGCAACACCTGCTGTGCCAGGATTGTCTGGGAAACCAAAGTGGGGAGCGGCCGTCTTGGTCCGACAGCATTTGGGCCTCAGGTGGCCTGCGGACGGATCTGGCATCGTTGAGCACGGTCGGGCCCTTAAAGTCATCGTCGACATTCCGTCCTGGCCCCCCCTCGTTGTTTTGTCGGTTTACCTGAAATCAGGCACTGGGCTTTGTGAGCTCAACCTGAAGTTACGTAAGAAAATCGGACAGGCTTTACAACACGAGCACCTCTTTTTGGCGGGCGGAGACTGGAATTTGGCTCCTAGCCTTATCGAGTCCACTGGCCTCCCCCGCCGCCTTGAGGCGGTCTTGTTCGTGCCTAAGGAACACGCGTGTGTCAGCCCCTCCTCCCTCACTACCTTAGACTATATCTTGGCCTCGAACAGTTTCTCGAGGGCGGTCGAGGGCGCGAAGGCTGTGTTAACCTGGGCGGGGCGGCCCCACAGGCCAGTTCAGTTGCAGCTTCGTGATCGTGCTATCTCGTTGTACCAGTTAACTTACAGGTCGCACCAACGACTGCCCTGTGAGCTGCCTGTGGGACCGTCCCCCTGCCCGCAGAATTGGAGCATGGCTCGCGACATCGCTGAATGTGCGGCCGACGCGGCTACCTCGGCCCCCGTCGGCGAGGCTTGGGAACTTTTGAGCCAAGCGTGGGTCTAACACCCTTGAGCTTGAGCTCGAGTCTTTTACGGGTGTTCCAGTTACCAGCAAGGGCCACAAGGGTTCAAGGTTGAAGGCGCGTTGGATTCCCATCTTCTCTCGTCCCAAAGGGAACGCTACGAACCTGGTCCACGTCGGTTGGGAATGGTTGGCCCAGCAGCTCCGTGAAACCCTCGGGGCCTGTCGCCGCTTCAAGGAGGCGGAGCATGGAATAGGTCAGGACCCTACTAAGCTCGATCAATTGTGTCAGGACGTGAACCAGCAGATGCAACTTGTTGTTGCTCAGCCGTGCCCTGGAGAGGGACTCAGCGCGCTTGGACAGCACGATTGCACAGGCTCGTGAGCTAGTGCGCCGGGGGTCCGCCTCTTCAGCCACGTGGCTGACCGACCTAGACGAGTTCCTCCAGTCTTGGGAGGACGACTACGATGAGGCTGTCAAGGCCATCCAGAAGGGGAGGCAGGACTCATGGGACGAATGGCAGGAGAAGGCTTTAATGGGGAGGGGCTCGGGCTATGCGCCGCCTTACCAAACTGAAACGTCGGTGGACCCCTACCACGATCGAAACTCACCCTGGCATTTTCTCGGCCAGCCCTCGGGACCTGCTCGAGGCTGAAAGCGAGGCGCTGGCTAAATTTTGGCATGCCAGCACTGCGCCGTCCACCGTGCGGGTTCCCAATAGGAATCATCTTCCGCGGCCGACTGCAGGAGATATCCGCAGCGCCAGCGCCAGCTTCTCGGCGCTCACCTCGCAGTCGCTCGACGGGCTGCGCCCGCGGCAGCTCTCTCTGGTCTCCGATGCGGCCCTCGACACCTTCGGCGCCCTCGTCCAGGCTATTGAATCGTTGGGACTGTTCCCCAAACAGTTGTTCTGGGTACTCTTTCCCTTGTTGGAGAAACCCAAAGGTGGGCTCCGCCCCATACTGTTATGCGCTGGGCCCGTTCGTGTCTGGGAGCGGCTTCGCAGGCCCTGGCTTACCGACTTTAACGATCGTTTCCCCCGGCGTTTTTGGGCCTTCGGTCCTGGCCGCAGCCCCGAAGATGCCGTGTGGCATCAGGCGGCTGCCTGCGAAGTGGCGGCCCAGACGGGCCAAGTCTCCCTCGGAGTCATTTGGGACGGCACCAAATACTACGAAAGTTTCGATTTAGTTTTGCTCAGGGATCGTGCGCTCAAGTATGGATTCCAGGAAGTCATCGTTAAAACGACGTTTAACTTCTGGTGAGGACCCCGAATCGTTAGGCTTGGCAGCATGTATGGCACGATCCCCTACTTCGCCACGTCGGGCCTGCCCGCTGGCGATGGATTTAACGACCTGTTTGTCCGTGTGTACAGCCTCGAGGCCTTCGACGGATACACGCTTGCCACCCCCCTCGTCCCCCTCTCCTCCTACGTCGATGATGATGCTATGACGACGCAGGCGGATACGGAACAGGAGGCCCTCAGTCGTATGGTCCAGGCGTGTGCGCACATGTACGTTATTTTCCGCGACAGTTTGAAGGTCGGCCTCCAGGCGGATAAATTAACCACCTTCGGAAGCTCTCTTTCGCTGGCCAGAAAGCTCGGCACTCTTCTCGGCCAGAAGGCTGGTCTCGTCACGAACAGCACCGTGTCTCTCGGCACTGATCTTGCCCCTGGTCAGGAGAGGTCGGCTCGCAACGCTCTTTGGAAACGCCGTGCTCGTTTTGGTTCCATGTTCAAGCGTCATAAGAAGTTGCAGAAGATGAGGAGCCGACTTCCACGACAGAAGGGTCGCATAGGGAAGATTTATGTTGCAGGCGTGGCTCCTGCCGCTACCTTCGGCTCGTCAGTTGTTGGATTGAGCGACTGGGAACTGTCCCAGGCCAGACGCGTCCTCCTCTCCTACAAACCCCCCTACCACCGCGGGTGCTCCCTCACGGCCAAACTTGCCTTGCACGGAGACCCCGTTGATCGTGCGAGTGTGGCACCTGCGGTTCATTGGGCCACTATCGCTTGGACGGCCATCACTTCTCCCTCGACCTCGTATTACTCGGTCAAGGAAGTTTGTCAGATGTGGTGCCGAGTGCCGTTCGGCCAAGATGTGAGTTGGAAGAGCTCGAGGGGGCCCACTCAGAGAATGCATTTGTGCTTGTTTCGTGTGGGCTGGTGCGCCACGTCTGCTCTCACTTGGGAGGGTGACTACGGTCGTGAAGTGCACCTAGGTTTCAACTCCCCCAGCATGGTGAGTCATTTGCTTAGGTTGGCCACCCAGCGCAGTTTTGAACGGAAGCTGGCTTCGGACCTCCTGAATTTTCCTGGTCCCCGTGTGACCCTTGACCCGCTGCAGAAACTCCTGGGGCCCAAGTCCAAGGTTTTAAGCGATCGGGAAAAATACCTCGCCAGCTCAGTTTTTTTGTAGCGGAGTTTGGACCCGCGCGCGAGCTCGCGCCGCAGGATACCAGAGCGATGGTAGATGCCCCTTGTGCGGTGAGGTCGACAACATCCGACGCCGCGGGTGGCTTTGTCAGCACGAGACTGCGCGGGCTGCTCGTGCCGAAGCTGTGGGAGAACAGCTAGAGCTGTTACAGGAGGCCCTGGAAAGTGAAGATAGGTTTTTATGGGATGAGCTCAAACTCGAACACCCCGAAACCTTCCACCCTCCTCCGTCTAGCAACCCCGCCCCCGCCCTCTACTCGGCTGAGGGGGCCGTGACGGCGCGGGGGTCCGTCGACCTGCGAGGGCGCGAAGTTTGCATGGACGGATCCTGTCTCCGTCACGAGGTGCGCGAACTTAGCCGCGCTGCTTATGCCTGGGTGTTTCTAGGCCCAGGTGAAACGATTGTGGCCTACGCTAAAGGAACCGTGTGGGACGTTCTTCCCCAGACGCCGCAGGCAGCCGAGCACCAAGCCATGGCCTGCCTGCCCATCTATGTAGAGTACACGGGTACACGTATCAGCGATTGCATGACTGTGGTCAAGCTCTGCCTCTCCAGCCCGACGCACCAGACGTCGGCCAAGCACCGTTACGCAGGAATGCGACGAGGGGCGTTGCTTCATGAAAAACGTGATCATGACATTGTTGTGCAGCACGCACCAGCGCATCGGTCGAAAGAGGTTATCGATTCGCTCTCGCCCGTGGACAAGAGGATCGCCGTTGGCAACAGTCTCGCCGACTCGCTCGCCAAGCACGCCCTCTCTCTCCACCCCCGTCCCTCGAATATGAATTCGGACATCATCGATTCGAATTTAGCCAAGCTGAAGTTTGCCGCCAGAGTTTTGGCCAAAGTTTTGTGCGTTTTCGAGGTCGAACGGTTTGAACGCTCTCCTTCGGGCCCTCGCGCACGCTTCCTCAAATCAGGGGGTTGGCACGCGTGGGAACCCCTAGAGGAAGGACGAGCGCGTTGCTTGAGATGCCTTGCCTTTTGGAAAGACCCTTCCACCAGGCCCATGATCGGCTGTCCTGGTCCCAGCAAGACCTGGCGGGGGGTCCTCGACTTCAGTAGAGGCCACACGCTCGCTCATACGCGTGTGACCAAAGACGAGGTTGAGTCCACTATGTTTTTCTGTACTACTTGTGGAGCCTACACTGCCAAGAGGTGCTACCTTCTAGGCCGTGACTGTCCGCTGCGCAAACTTGCGGGGGCCCCTACGACCCTCCGTCGTATCTTTGAAGGCCAGCACCCTCATTATAGGGAGGGGAGGTCACGTCTCAGCGTGTCGAGCCGTCGAGGTTCTGCCTACATGCAGCATGCGGCGGCTCTGCCACCTCCGCCTGAAGTTCGCCAGCCTCTACGCGGGATGGAGTCCCTGCCTCGGACGCCAGGCATGCTTGCACTCGTGGCACGTATTCAGGCACGTGAGGCTGCTGCGAGGGCAGCAGCCCCGCGAGATGTTTCTCGCAGCCGCAGTCGCGGCCGCTAAGTCATTAGCATCGGTCCTGCCCTCTGGGATTGCAGAGGAAAAAAATCCTCCTCCTCCTCCTCCTCCTCCTCCTCCTCCTCCTCCTCTCTCGTCCTCCTCCTCCTCCTCCTCCTCCTCCTCCTACTCCTCCTCCTACTCCTCCTCCTCCCGCCTCCTCCTCCTCCTCCTCCTCCTCCTCCTCCTCCTCCTCCTCGTGTTGCTCTCCCTGTGCCCTGCCCCCCGC